GAGTGTGCGATCTTACGAGAAAATAGTGCTTTCAAACAATCCAGCTCTAGATGGACCACAAAGCTCCAGTTTCACATCGGTAGGTTCATGAATTTCCCTTCCTGTCTCCATTCCATACCCATACCATATTGCGATGCTTCGGCTACGTAACGCCATGCTAAAGGACATTTCATGACCTAGCACCGTTGAGACTGAACAGGCCGTCTTGGCACTCAAGCGACACGTAAGGGGTCGTTTCTTGCAAAGGCTAATGCGTGGCGGCATCGGCATGCATTTAACACTTATTTCCTTCCAAGCTATTACCAGATTTGTTTGTCTTTATCTGTGTCGCTGGACTATGTGGGCCAGTAACCGGATGGGCAGAGACACCGTACGTCACACTGCTAAAGCAATTAGCACCAACATGTAACGCAATAAAGGGGCATTATTGGCATTGGCGGGAGAAAGGAGTCGACCATGTTCAGTCTGTGTTTAGCTCTAATGTTCTAGTGCCACGGTACTTTCCATTGGCAGTGCTACCAACCCCGCACTACTATCAGGTTAAAAGCGTCAGTGGTTTATGGACAATTGTATTTGCTAACAGTGATGGAAAAATTACAAAATACCCACCAGCAATCACTTGAGATCGAGCCCCACGACCTCGCCATCGCGTCCTCCTTTTCTCCCACGAATACTCATCACCTTAAAACCGAGGAACAATAAACATCCAATTATTGCATGCTACAAAGTGAAGGCCACCGCTATGGGATAATGACTAAAGCGTTCGTCCCGGACTATAAATCCGTACAGCTCGTGACCTTTCCAACTCTCAACACCCCATTTTGCTGACACATATTTGCAACCAGCGAAGCCAAAACAGAAGCACTGCACAAACGCTGGAAATTCATCAAGTAAGTAAATAAACACTGAAACGAGCCGCCGTTCCTGTAACATCAACCTTCGAATCCAACATCGTAGCCAATGACAAGGTGGCTCAAGGGTACGAACTTTGCTCATTCAAGCTCACTTCACAACTGAAAAGACTAGCAATTCAGCGTGGAGAGGATTGAAGTTGCAGAGAACAACACAAACAAGGACAGAACAGAGAACGATGGAAAGAAGTAATTGATGGTGATAATGAAAGCAAAAAAAGGCAACGGCGAATGACCGAGTAATGTCAGCACTTATTCTCCTGATGTCAAAATGACAATCGCAATGACTTTCAACGCAGTGCGCCATGCTCGTTCCCTACTTTTGTAGTTCTGCTGTTGGGCAGGATGGAAGTGGGACACTTTGAGTTCTTAAAAGGCGCCAGACATTGTTACAGCAGTGTTGTCACAGGAGTGCACAAACACCAACTCAGCATGAATGCATTTGAACGGGTCTAGTTTACGTTTCACAGGACGTGATGCATAGAGCCAGTTTTCAATGCGACTGAGTTGGACACGACTGCTGATGGTTCCATTCAAAGACTGGTCTTCCCAACAATCTGTCGCCAAATGAGAAGCAACACTTGAGCGACTGTATTTGCACACAGTAGGTTTTATGCATGAGCGCATGCACAAATGAAAAAATTGAGGAGCAACATTTGATGTGCGATACCATTACCTGATTCGCTCTACCACGGCCGCTCAGAATTTGTAATTTGTGCATTGGCCTCCATCCAAACAGCCAAAACTCGCAACAGCAAGTTTGATAGCTTCACCATTCCAATAATAATGTCCCAGCTTCATATGCCTTTTTATCGTAAATCGGTTAAAACAGTGGATTGTGGGCATCGATGTCGCCTGACTGCCCACATAGGATGTGGGAGAAAGCCGGTTAGTTGGACACCGCCTACCTCCTTGGTCAATGAGAGACAGACTTACTGAAGTTCACATCAACTTCTAATGGCAGCTGGTCAGGAATGAAAGATAAAGTGGTTGAAATTTCTGCGCCATTGATACGAAGTAATGCTGAGCTACACACAATAGTGGGGATTACTTAGACAAGATGACGAACTTTTTAGATCAATTACAGTTGCTAATTTGAAGGGCTGACGCGATGCTGTCTAAGTAAGGTCTCGGAGCTATTGGAACATGTCCCGTGACAGGGCATGACAATCAAGAGAAAAAGTTGCCTTAACTCTGTCCGTAATCGCATAACCGTTGTTCCGAGAAATTTTGGTCTTACCACGCTCTGGTCTTTCTATCCATAAACTTGTGCTGTGCATATAGGAAAAGCCACGACCCAGTGTTTAAAAATGTTATGCACTTATGAGCATATGAAATGAACAAAGACGCAAAATACAAAAAGTTAATGTCGAAATATCTTGCAGATGCCTACTGGTGCGAGTAGAGCAAACTATGGCACGGGATAACTTAAGTAGGCCGAAGTGGGTCTGTGTGGGGCTCACGCCACTCACACTGACGTTATTATTCGTGTGCAATCATAAATTTGCATTGTGTGAAATGCAATGTCTGAGCTGAATCCCATTGAAAGGTTGAATCCAGATGTGTGGTCATCCCAATTTTACTAACCTTGCCTCAGATCTCAACTTTGGTAAAGCGAATAAGTGGTGCGTGTCAGGGCACTTACATTAAAATGGGTCTACAAAATCCTGCTTAGAAGGTAAGGGAAGGGTAGCGTTGCTAAATGCTTAAAAGGCACGCCAATTCATAAAGGAGCAACCACTAAGAAACTTAAAATCCAGCATCGGACATATCTGAGCACTCACTTGAGCACTGGTGGAGGGCAAAACACGCTCAAAATGACGTAGATAACAATGTAAAGATCCGATAAACAGATATTTTGCAATGTGCATTTGTGTGGCTCCTTCCCGTTACAATCAGACCCACTGACAAGATTTGTTTTGCATGCATCAAAGTAAGGGCGCTTTCTAGCAAACGTTGTTAATGGACACTGAGAAGGCCGCCCTAACATCCATTACTGCACATGTTAGAATCCGACCACCATCTAGTGGTAGCCTCAAGGTCAGTTGAAAGGAGTTAGGTGACCTCAACCGGTATTGCAAACGGACTTGAGACGTTTCGACCAATCCTAAACCCTGGTTTCGCTTGACGCCCTAATAACTTTTATACTTGTACTTTTGCCCGTTTTGAAACAATGTTGATTGGGCGTATTGTA